TTTTAACAAATTATAAACAGAAGGATAATTTTACTATTTCACCTTTTGAATATAATAAATACAATCTCTTGGAAAGTATAATAGGGAAATGACTATAATTAATGATAAGGGTATATTAGGAAGTAAGTGTATATAATTATTTATTGATTTCATAAAGTAGACAAGTATTACTCCCTCCGTCCCATTTTATATGTCACATTTTTATTTTGCATTTGCATTAAGAAATGATGTAACTTAACCCTTCTACCCTTATTTAATGTTTTCTTAAGTCAACTTTATCAATAAATGACAAGACTAATTGACTATTCTATCAAGAGTATAATAGGTAAAATATGATAATTTATGCATAAATTTTATAAAATGACAAGTATTGTGGTCCAGCTATTTATAGAAAGGAATGACATATAATATGGGACGGAGGAAGTATTGAACATTCCAAAATAGTATAGTGGACAACTATTATTGGACGGAGAAAGTATTTGGTACGCTATTAATTGAATCAGATAAAATCAAACTCAACTGCATTATTAGATGTGGGCACAAAATACCTAAATGTCCTAAATTCAAGAAAATTAATGATATTTCTAATTTCCATGAAGTGAAACATATGCTAAATGTTAGACAAAACTTTGTGGAGAAAGTCCAAAATAATCTCTTATATTTGGATGAAGACTTAAAGTCGTCATTCTTGAGTTTTCATATGGTGCATTTTTGTCCCTCAATTATTGGTATCTGATTTTAGTTGATACGGCATCTGATTAAATATATTAAATTATTAATTAATTAAATTATGTATTTTTGATCAATTTACTTGTGAATAGTTTATCTACTGATACTTATAATTATAATTTTTCATGCATTATGCTAAATTTGTACTACTGCTGCATATTTGAATTTTGATGGTAATATAATTTTTTACGTAAAAAAATTTGAAGATTAAATATATTGAATTGTATATGACCAGGTTAAAAGTGTTAATTAAAGTCAAAGATAGTTGGCTGCCTTTGCCCTTTGGTCCTATTATGTATACTCAAAGACCATATCATATTTAAACTGAACTAATCACTCTTGGTACAATCGATCAATAATTATAAATCATAATAAAGAAAGAAAGAAAGAAAGAAGACAACTACATTGAAACCTGAGGAGTATAGATTTTTATCATGTGATTGTTTATTATATAAAAATAAAATGCCCCATCCTTCTCAGAATTTTGATTTTGTTTTCTTTTTTTAAAACCAATTAGCAACTTTATTCATATATATTTTTCCTTACTTTAAACCACAAAATTATTTGCCTCCAACCAGTGAACAAATACCTAACCCAAGAGGTGTTTAATAGACAAGCTTCTTCTCTATTACTAATATATGTTAGTATAATAAAAAATATAAAATATATAATTCACATAATTAATTAAACACCAATTATTCCTATTATATATGGTGTTTGATAGACAACATAATGACCTTATCTACTCGTGGACCTCATTTTTTCCCACTTTTTTTTAGTCTATGATGTTGCATTACCTTTAAATTTTATGATATCAAATTAAAAGTCTACCATTATGTCTAAATAATGTTGAAGATTTATTAATAAATCCACTTAAAGGTCTTTCGACATGACGAGTATTTTTTAAAAATATTTAGAGATACCTAACTTATCACTTTGCATGTAATACACTAGGAAAGAATTGATATTACTAGAATTACTGCGTTATGAGCTTGTGGTGAACACGGATACCCTAGTTAATTCTCTCATCTTGATAAAAACCGAAATTAACTTTTGTTTATTGATTACTTACTGAATTCTTACAATTTGTTTCACAAATCCCCCCCTTTTTATTTCTTGTTTCTGGAAGTACTTTGGCTAATTGAATATAATTGTTGGTTAAAGTAAAATCTAAACCATTTTCCTCGTGGGATCGACCCCAACCTACAAGTTGGGTTCTTTACTTGATAACGATCGCTTATACTTCTTTATGGAGGTGTAATTTGAGCGTATCACGGGTCTTCCATTTATCGTAATGTCGACACACTGTGCGTCGTATCCTCTTGGCTTCTCTAGCTGCTTCGTGATGGCTTCGCATAGTCCTATCGAGCCCAACTGCGTTGTCTCTACGCCTTGTCCTTGCTCATGTGTGTCTTTCGCCTTCTGCTCTCGCAGGATAGCCCCAAGGCTCTTTAGTTCAGGGCGCTTTGCATAGCCATGCAGCCCATTGCATATGTAGCAACCACCTCTTTTGGCAGTCTCTGCCTTTCTCTCCGTGTCGCCATGACGTCCAGACTTCTTGCCATCGGACTTATAGGTAGCATGCTTCTTGGGATATGGCCGCTGCTCCTCGACTTCGCCACGATCTCCCCCACCATGGTCATGACTACCTCTTGTCTCCTCTCATCCGTCTCTATCGGGCTTCTCATGCCTGAAGTCTGTCAAAGCTTCGGCCTGCGTGATGGCTTCATTTATAGTCCTGACCTGCCGACGTTCCAACTCCGTCCTAGCCCAATTTTGCAGCTCATCCATGAAGTGGAACAACATATCATCATCCGTGAGGTTAGGAATTTGAAGCGTGAGGGTAGTGAACTCCTGCACATATGCGCGTATGCTACCCGTTTGCTTCAGCTCCCTAAACTTGCGCTTCGCCTAATAGATGACGTTGTTAGGGAAAAAGGCTTTCTTGAACTCTTCCCGGAATTGCTCCTAGGTATTTATGGTGCACGTCCCCTTCCCTATCTCAGCCTCCTTGCGCCTCCACTATAGCATGGCCATTTCTGAAAGATACAACACAGCGGTGTTGATCTTACTCTCGTCGCTCTTCAGCCCGTTGCACTTGAAGTAATTCTCCAAATGCCAAAGGAAATTCTCCACCTCTTGCGCGTCACGGACGCCTTTGAACATAGGTGGCTTGGGAGCCTCGACCCTGGCCTCCTTATCTTGGTCAAGCGACAATGATCCTCCAGCTGCCACACCTTCCTTGAGTGCTTTCATCTCGGCCTTCATGGTCTTGATCGTGCTCAATGCCTCCATGAGCCGACACTCCAAGGAAGTGATAGCCTCTTTCATCTCAAACTCGGCCCGCTGACGTCCCTCCAACTCCTTACGGATGCCTTCAGTCTCCTCAAGGGTGAAGTCTTCGAGAGTCTTGAATTTGCCATCGGCCACGTTCATGCGCCGGCCTAATATCTTTACGGCTTGCCTTGCCACTTCAACCCTTGTGACCCACTCTTCTCCTGCGGTAACGTTAATGGCCTCCTCGCCACGTTCTTCGTCACTTGCTTTGGTGGTTGAGGGTAGATGAGATGTTAGCGCCTCACTTGGTGTGGGATCCAACAACATTTCCTCATGACTCTTTTGGTGCTTCTTTCCCTTTTGGGCCTTCTTTCCACCATTCGGACGGACATTGGTAGTGCTAGCGGCGTTTACGTCTCCTTCGTTAGTCATTCCCTTAGTATCAAACCTCGCTCTGATAGCACGTTGTCACGGACTTAGAGTCTTACTAAAGCTCCGTGCGGCACTTGACAACTTACTCACTATTCTTTCAAGATCTCGTAAGCTCAAGGAAGCCTTTTTAAACTAAGATCGCTAAGAGAATGAAAAGGAAAGACTTAGAAAGATCAAAAGAAAGCTTTTGAAGAAGGCTTTGTATATTGCTTTGGAAGATTGCTTTACAACTTGCTTGGTGCCTAGCAAATGAGAGGCACCTCTATTTATACTAGCACCTAGGGACTAAAGTGCAATTTTAAATTACTTTACAAGTCCCTAAACTATTTACACAAAGGTCCCTCTCTAGAATTCTCTACATACTCTAGAGAATTCTAAGGCTTTCTTGGAAAATATCTAAGTTATTCTAGAGAATTCCTTAGAATTCTCTAGCCTTCTTGAATCATCTAAAAGGTTCTAGAGTTCTCCGCAAACCTCTCCACAACTCTAGACCTTTCCGCCTCTATCCGGACGCAAAATTTAACTGTGATGTGGCGGGACGTGACAACAGTTTCTATAATAATTTTAAATTTATTTGTAATGATAACTGAGTTCACAATCAAATATTTTATAAAAATTAAATCTGCTAATGTAATGTGTTCCCCGACAACATAAATTAATTAAGGAGTTCTTGAACGTTTTGATCGATATACATTGATAGCGTAATGTTGTTTTTATATGACTAATATAGCTATGTCGTTACATGTTCTTTTATCAAGAAACCAATAAGTTCTTGTCAATTGTTACACAAATATTGTACCTGTAGATACAATAATTGATATAAAATTATAAATCATCATGATCTGAGTGAGATCAATAAGTATTTTTTTTATGTCATTAATTAGTGCATAAAATGTTAATCGATAAAAGAAGGAAAAAGAAAATCGTAAAAAGTATTTGGAAGGAAGTATCAAGTGTATTTTACTAGGAAATCTCAGGTTACTATAGCTCATATGGGGAGAATATGCTAAGGGACTATATAGCTTCTGTCACAGATTCATCTGAATTCATAATTATTTTAACATGTCGTATAAATATATTTGTAAAATTGTACTGAAATCTTAACACTTATAAAATTTGAACTCATAAAATCAGAACAACAAGGAATATTTACATTATAACAATGAGGAATATTTACATTATAACACATTCAACAAGGATAAAAAAAAAAAAACAGGAATCGTAATGTGATTAGCAATGTGAACATATGTGTACCCTCTCAACAATCAACAACATATTTACAATAATAACATCTCAATCTCAAGCAAATTGAGTCTGTAATAATCCTCACTGTCCATCTCACTCATCAACAACGTACCAATCATACTAATATACAAAAAAAAATTCAACTTTTTCCGAGCCCCGCGCAAATATCAAGAAATGTCATGCATGAAGTGTTCTTCAAAAAATAATTCTGGCCAATATGAAGAACTCCCTTGATCAGCACCATTGTTAGTTGAATTACTGCTAGAATCTCCTTGATTATTGCTAATTGAAATTTCAGCCAAAGGTGGTAAATGACTTGAAGAATGTGGAGAAGGAAGAATATTAGTAATATTTAATGGGGAACTAGTTGAATTATTTTCTTGATCAAAATTAAAATTGTGACAATTAATATTGTCACTAATTTCATTAATATTATTATTCAAATGTGTTTGGAAATTGAAAGGGACTTGTTGTGTATTATCTTGATTATTGTGGAGTAGTTGAGAGCAAGAGTTATTTTCATTGGAGAAAAGTGTTTGATTTTCAATATTGGATAAATTTAAAGAAGGGGTACTATTTTCTTTAACAAAATTTGTCAAATTAAATGCCCCTAAATCTCCAAGATTAATATTATTATTATTATTGTAATGTTGAGTGTTTGATGAGGGTGTAGGTTGTGTTGGATTATAATTATTTGAAGATTGGAATAGAAATTGTAAATATTGAATTTTAGCTAATTGGGCAGCTTGTACTTGTAATCTCACAGCATGATCTTCTAGTGGATGATGTTGAAGTAAATTTGCCAAAGCTATTATATTAGGCAAGTTTGCAAATAAATCAGTTCTTGGCTTGTGTGTCATTGGATCATATCCCATTTGAATTAGCTTCTTCTTTAAATGTGTGTTCCAGAAATTCTTGATCTCATTGTCTGTTCTTCCTGATAAATGTGTTGCGATCGCGGACCATCTACAACCATAATATCAAAAGATATCATCAATATGAATTTTCACAAACAAGAAAACAAATGTGTTAGCAACAACAACAATAATTGTGCATAAATCTCTAGCATAATTGAGGTCAACTATATAAATCACCATTATCCATTAGTAACCCCACATTATTTAAGCTTATTATTTAGTCAATATTATATAAAATACGATTAAAAATATACCAAAGTTCTCTATATTTTTTACTGACCTATAAATAATGTAAGTTATATTGAAAGAATTAATTACTTGTTTCCTAGGATGGAATGGAGATGAAGAATTGTTTGTTCTTCTTCTTCAGAAAATTTGCCTCTCTTGATATCAGGCCTCAAATAATTAGTCCATCTTAACCTGCAGCTCTTCCCACACCTATTAAGTCCTATATAGCATATAAAAACAACAAATGTTAGTTTTGTTAAAACAAATATCATCTATGTTATAACTAAGAACTTACCTATCGAAATCAGAAGCAAAGAAAATTCAACATCTATTATATATACATAAACCATATATAATTTTAACTCTCTCTATATAATATAATTTCTGAAGAAAAAAAATATTCAGATAAATCCCTTACGCGCCCCTAGCTAGCTACCTTTGCTCATGCCAAAAAGAGGTTGTTGCTAATCCCACTTAGCAACGAATTTTCATTAGTTACAAGTAAACCATAGATGGACCAGCGACGAAGCTCGTAGCTAATTCCATTTTTAGTAGTGATAAAAAAAATTATTATTTTTTTGTTGGAATTATTATAATACCTGCAAGCTTAGGAAGGGCTCTCCAACTTCCATGACCATGTTTGTCAATATAATCAACAAGTATTTGATCTTCTTCAGGAGTCCAAGGTCCTTTTTTCAGCCCATTTTCATCACAACAAGGAGACCTTCCCATTTTAATTTAATTTGTGGAAGAATTTATTTGTAATTTTTCTTTTGGTTTCTTCTATTTGATGCTACCAAATTAGACATGTTTAGTATTTATACAATTGAGCAGTGTAGTTTCTTGTACTTTAATCCAATTAACAAATTTTGATTTTGACAGTTATCTTCATACATAATCGACTATAATAAGTGGACAAGGAACCTTTTAAGTTTATTTGTTTTAAACATTAATCTTTAAGTTAGAAATTTACTTGGTCAAAATTCTAAATAAGATGTAGAGGACCTGCCGACCATGGATTATATTGTTCTACTCTCTTTTAATTTTTATTTCACCGTCTAAGTTTGACTTGGTATGAAATTTAAGAAAGTAAAATAATAATAACTAAATTTTATTGCTTTAAACTAAAAATACGTGAAATATATTAAAATGTCCTTTAATATTGTGGTATTAAACATGTCAGGTAGAAAGTTGAAATTAAAGTGTTACCAAAAAAGGAAGATATATATTTTTTTAAACAGACTAAAAAGAAAAGTAAGACAAACAAATTGAAATTGAGACGAATGTAGTAATAGTATATTTTCTTATTAAGTTCTATTAACCTATCCCTAAATGGGGTATATTTCTATTTTCTTGTTTTAAATTTCTTTAAACGACTTAACTTTCATTTTGATACATTTTCTTGAGAGGAAAATTTCTATTGTAGAATTACTTTTATATAAAAAATAAAATAAAATAAAATTTAGGGTAAAATTTTGAATATATCTAGGTTTTAAAATATTTTTCAAATTTCAAATACAACCAAAAAAATATTAATGTTCAAATAAACATGGACTTACTTGTATCCCGACTAAAATTGCTTGCTTGCATGAATAATATCTCTTTAAAAAAAGTTGATTTTTTAAAAAAACTAATTTTCTAATAGTTAATGGGACCAGGTTGTTTCTGCTAGTCAAAAAAGACGTAGCCATGCAACGAATAAATAATAAAAAGAGATTTTACTGCGTCATTTGCTTGCATGGCTTGAAATTGCTTTCGTCAAAATTATTATTATTTTCACTAACTTTTCACTTTTGTTTTATTCCATATTTTCTTTTTTTAATTCAATTGAGTGAGTGCACACTCTTAGGCTTAACTTGTTAAATGAAGTTTACTTGTATAATTTACCTTACCTTTTGATTTACGAAACTTGAGAAAAATCCCTAACTTAGTCAAGGGTAATTAGTCAACTTTTATTAACTATACAATAAGAATTAGACTGTGTGTTGTGCGTGCTCCTTATTTTTTTATACGACAATAACAATAATATATTCAATATAATATCACAAATAAATATAATAAAGAGGGAGTATATATCTTATTCTTATTTTTATAAAATGAAAATGTTATTTCTGATATATTAAAATTCCGACTAAGAATTTTTTGTCCAATAACACTAAACGATAAGTCTTGATGGTTTAATTTTCTACATCGAGTTCACTTGTGTAGCCTCCTATATCTTTTTATTTATAATATTTTAGCCATATTTGAGCCTTATATTACGATAAGTAGTTGTTCGTAATATCGACATGCTAACATCTTGTAACATATCCCAATTCCCAAGCATTTTTATAGTTTCTCAGTAAGGTAATCAATACACAATAATGTCAATAGAATTAATCTTAACACTATTAATGATAATATTAATAATACATCTTATTTAATATTTTCCCTGTCCCATTTTATATGATTTACTTTCATTTTTAGTCAGCCTAAAAAAATGACATATTTCTATATTTTTGTACTCTAATTTAGCTTTAAAATGCTCAGTTTACCATTAATAACATGATTTATAGCCGGCCACACATATATCTATAATTCATTTTACACCACCATTTTCAAAAATAGATCTTTATTTTTTAAAATCTGTGTCAAGTCAAACTAACTCATATAAATTGAAACGATGAAAATACTATTTTTATATATCTTATCAAACTATACTAGTTATAGTCTCATATTCTGTTCTTTGTCCCCTTACTCCTATTCACATGGTCCATCACGTCTTAAAAAAAAGAAATAATTCCAAAACTATAAATAAAAAACCCAGTTTCACCATCAAAGAATGTAGTATAGTAGATGAAGTTATTTTTTTCTTAACCAGAGTCTTAGGTTCACGCTCAAAAATATGAAAAATAATTAGTAGTAGAGAGCAAAAAACTCGGAGAGAAAAAAAGGGGAGTAAGTAACGGTTAACCATGAGATATGGTGTATAATACACGTGTATACAAGGAACCAATCGTCATGCTTAACATACACGTTTTGTAGAACTTATACCATTATAGTAAGTTAATGATAACACGTAAGGTAACAAATCTAGGAAATTAAACTAGAGTAGAAAATGACACCAACATACTGAACAAAAAAAAACATATTTCACAGTCGTATTATATTTATTAATAAAATTAATTAATAGATTGAATATTGTAAAATATTTTTTTTTAAAAAAGGGTGATGAAAGTGAGTTGACTATAAGGAAGAAACTGGTTAGAAGTAAAGTTGGTACAGCAAACGTCCTAAATCTTCACCTAATTCATTTTTGGAACAAATTAATTAAAATGACTTTCACTTTTTTTGAATATTTGGCTTTTGTTGTTTTCTTGTTATGCCAACCAAAAATCTTTTGTTTTCCGACAGATTTTTATGGTTTAGTATTTTAAAAATATTTAATTGGTTTAGTATCGTATAAGCTACTCTTTTAGTTATACATAAGTCCAAGATGACTTAATCAAATAAATGGGAAATTACTATATAGCTGAAATAATATATTAATAACGACAACGGTAGATTTGAGCTTTGGGTATAGAGAAAATTATGTGTTTCAAATGGGCTTTGCAATGCGCGATTCGAATTTAGTCGAGATTTCAGTGTGGACTCTGAACACCAGATGAGAAAAAAAAATAACGATAATTGTATACTTTTCTCATGAAAAATATTAATAAAGAACTTTTTTTTTTCAATTTCGCATAATTTAAGATTTTTTTTTTCATTTTTTAAAGCGTGCTAGCTTTACTATTGGAGTGCATGGCAGTGGGCTTATATCAAGGACTTAATACACCACTTATTAGGGAATAATGGACTTGAAAGTCTTCATGTGAACTAATGAGGCCTCAAACTAGGTAAATCATGGGCTCACCAAGGGCTTAATACACAAAAAGTTTTGTTTTCATTGTTTTCGTTTCAACGAAAGGTTCAAAAATAACTTCAATTTGTATTCATGATTAAATATAAGAGAAAATTGTATATAATAGCAAACTATTAATTCAAATTAAATGCTATTAATATAGTTTGATTTAATTGTACCTCATAGCAAACTGTTGCTATTTCACCTCTCTCCTGGTGAATCTCGCTTGCCACTCTCGTTCTCTCCCTCGCCTCTCTCATTTTTTATACAAACGCAAGTGTATAAAGTGTGTTTGTGTTTGTATAAAGCGAGAGAAAATTGTAGATATACATATATTTTCGTTCCCCTCTCTCCCTTCTCCCAGATCTCGCTCGCCACTCTCCCAGATCTCGCTCTCTCACTTTATACAAAAAACGTTGTTTTATTTAAAATATATATACAAGGAAATGACTGAGTTTTGAAAATCGATTAAACTTATAGTTTAAGAGAAATCGAATTTCCAAAAGGACAGAGTCGCCACTTAATTTTTTAATTAAAAAAATCAAGAAAAAATACAAGATTTTTCAAAAGACTTAAACAGATAAAATCAATTGAAAATAAAAGGGTTCGAAGTTCGATGTACATTCCGAGAAGGTGTTAGGCCCTCGAAATGCCCGCTAACTTGCGGTTGACCGACAATTTGACTTAAAATGATTTGACTAATTTTAAAATTTTAACAAAGTAAAAGAACTCATTTATTTTAACTAAATATTTTTAAAATTTAACTAAGTAAAGGATTCACAACTTTGACTAATTTTAAAAGTTTAACGAAGTAAGAGAACTCATTTATTTCAACTAAATATTTTAAAATTTAACTAAGTAAAGAACACACAACTGTGACTTACTTTTTAAAAAAAAAAAAAAATTTAGCTAAGCAAATGAACTTATTTATTTATTACTATTATTATTATTATTATTATTATTTTATCACTATTATTATTATTATCATTTTATTTATCTTAAGGGGGGATGAACTAAAGAGGAATTTTCTAAAGGGGGAGGGGGGGTAACTTAAATATCGACAAAACTAAAATAGAGCTAAGTAATAAATAAGTTGTATATATAAGAAAAGATAAATATTTTAATTTTTGAATATAAAGAGAAACGACTATCTTCGAAAATTTAATCAAATTAAAACCAATTCATTTAAAGAGTTAGTCACTAAAATAACAAATAAATACAAGAGGAGAAAGGAGAAAATTTGAACTTGGGCTTTTGCCCAAATTCGGGAAGGAAAAAAAAAAAGAGACTTTGCAACTAACTTTGAAGATTAATTCGAGAAGAAAGAATGTAACAAAAATATATCATTTAAATTAAATGTTTTGAAATCATTTAGAAAGAAAAAATAAACTTTTTCAAGATGGTCAAGTAAAGAGAACTAATTCAATAAGACGAAATAAGTTACCATAATCAAAAGTGGTTCATCTCTAGGGGATTAATTAAGTTAAATAACCAAATCACATAAAATGGGTTAGAGAATTAATACAAATAAATAAATAATGGCAATAACAAGAGGATGCCCAAGTTTGGGCCAAATCTGATGGACTTTAGGCCCATTTTCGCCCCAAAGACCTGTGTATATCGATGTATATAAACCGTATTCTGATCCATTTTCGTGTATATCGGACTGTATTCCGAGGGTATGCAGCCTATTTTGACCCCTGCAACCTGCACTTCATTTTTTTTAACCTGTATATCAGTATTTCTGCCATGTATACTGCTGTATACAGCAGGTATGCAGCCCTCTTTTTGGGCTTTTCGAGACCTGCCACTAGTCCCTGACCCCGGTAAACTTGTTCTTAATTCGAACTTCACTTAAGTCTGACTCGACGGAGAGAGATTTGGGGTCCT